TTTGTTGTTTGTCTTGTATGTTATGCCGGGAATCAAACCCAGGACCTTGTACATGTTAGCAAAGTGCTCTGTCCCTGCCCCTGCTGTTGTGATTACTGTGGTTGGTTTTGCTGTCTTTCTTTTGTTTGGTTGGTTGGTTTTTTTTTGTTTGTTTGGTTGGTTTTTGATTTTTTTTTTTTTTTTAGATAGGTAGTTGTGGTTTTCCTGGAACTCATTCTGTAGACTAGACCGGCCTCGGCCTCGAACTCACAGAGACCTCCCCGCCTCTGCCTCCTGAGTGCTGGGATTAAAGGTGTGTGCCACCACTGTCCAGCTTTTTCTGTTTTTGTTTTGTTGTTCTTTTTTTCCCCTCCTCTTTTTTTTAGACTGGTGGAATGTGGCCCAGGCCTTGCTCTTACTGTGTCATCCCCGACCTAAGTACCAGGATTTCAGGCATGAGCCTCTTTGCTAAGTTTCTGCTGCCAAACCTGCTAACTTGAGGGGAGTGAGGGATGCTTGATGGCTTACAGCATCATGAGGAGAAAGAACCAGAATGGTGTGGTTGTTAGGGTTAGGATGTGAGTGAGGGCAGCAGATGATTCCAGCCTTGTTACGTTCACAGAGCCCGTGTGGACTGTCTGAGGAGACGGTCAGGAGGTAGATTTTTGCCTAGAATTTAGGAGTCTAGATGGGAGCTGTTGGTTTAGAAATGTGTGGTCACTTTCTGTTGTGACTGATTCTGGAGATAAGCCACCAAAGGAAAGAAGGGTTTGTATGGGCTACAACTGGCCAGCTTTGTCATTTCTAGGCAGTGATGAGGCCGAATAGCAGGTAGAAGGGTGCCCAGGGATTGCTCACTTGGTAGCTAGGAGGAGGCTGGGGACAAGTACAGCCTCTCAGAAATGTGCCTCTCTTCCTCCAGCTAGACCCCACCTCTGGAAGTTTCCACTCCCTTCCAGTCGTTTATGAGTCCACATATCGATTAATCCGCTAGCTGGGAGCCAGCCCGTCAGCATAGTCATCTGTGGGGACAGATCCTAGCCAGTGGTCAGACTCGGATAGTAACGGAGGATGCGGTCGTGACGGCATTGCTCGGGGAATGTGGGCAAGAGAAGTGGACCGTGACAAATTCCTCAGCACCTAATCATATGTCAAGAGCACATGTAAGAAACAATCCGAAGAGAGTAGAGAAGAAGCCATAAAGAACATTTAATGTGCTAAGGAAAGAAAGGTTGAAAGTCAGGTGTGTGTTCGATGATGTCACCTACTGCCAGGAAGCTGGGCTCCATCAAAAGTGAGCCCATAGGTTTAACAGCAAGAGTTTGTTGATGACTGTATGCAAAGATTCATGCAGGGGTCAGGACAGAAGTGATTACAATGTGAAGAGCAAGCAGAGGGTGCGGAGGTAGAGACAGTAGCGAACTCCATGTCTGGAGAGAACAGAGAAGGTGGTTAAATGGGAATGTGGAGTCTGTGGGAAGCTCTCTCTAAAATAGAAGACTCTTAGGATGTATAATAGCGTATAACTGACGAGAATGGCAAGCAAGAGAAAGGCTGCAGAGAATGTACGTGGCCTGTCAAGTGCTGTGCAAAATTAGTAATGTATTCTTCCTTCGGGGTTAAGAGGCTCTTTGGTCCAGTGCTGAGCCGGGAGAGGACACTTAGGAGTGGTTGGGGGTGTTGAATATGAAGAAGAGCAAGAGGATTAGACAGCTGCAAGGTCACCCTGGGCTAGCCACACTTGCAGACGCCAACCTCGAGCCTCGAGGTCTTGTGTCAGCTCTGAGCATATCTAGTTGGTAGAATTGTTAAGTCTGGAATGGACTTACATGCTCCTGGGAGAAGCAGGTCACCGTGTGGTAAGTGCTTTCAGGTGTGTCCAGAGCAGCCCTAAACTGATATACTTGGAAGAAATATACAGAATTTACCATCAGAATTAATGAAGGCCATTAATTCATTTTGACTAACGGCCTTGCTAAGAGCATACATACACAGTTGGGAGTTTCTCTCCTTGGTGTGGGGTCCAGATTTTTAAGTTGCACCATCCAGCTCCCCCTACAGGTTGGCATCCAGCAAAACTCAGTTCTTCTCCAAGCTTTCTCTATGGGGACATGGTTATAAATAAACAAACACCAGCCTGGAAGGGCATGGTCATTCTGCCCAGGCAAGCTCCCAGCGGTCTGATTACTGTCAGACACTGGCTTCAGCGTCGCAGTGTGTCCTGCTGCCGATGGCTCGGAATGCTAATTGTCTGTATTTTGCTCTTGTTCATCCACGAGTTATGGTTTAAAACGTCTGACCCAGTCTGCCCAGGTGACTTACCCACACTCTGCAAGCGCATGATTGTTGTTACTTGCACTGCTGAGGACTGAACCCAGGGCCTCGTGCACTCAACCACGGGGCTACATACAGCTCAACCTGCTGAGCTAAGAGTTTAAATTCACTCAGAACAAATTATTTCTTTCAAACTGATTGTCTATTGTGACGAATATATTTTACTAACAAATATGTTGCAAGGTAAAAAATTTTCAGACTGCATCTCCTTGATATCATTCAGTTACCTGAAGCAATGAAAACTTCCTAAGGACAAGGCCCTAGGCCTGCTGCTAGGGAAACAGAGGAATTTAATATTATATCTGTCTGCAGTGAATTTACTGTCTAGGCAGAATTTATAAAAATGTATCTTGGAGTACCAGTTAAATGAGATCTCATGATGAAATAACTTTGAAGGCTGTTGCTTGTGCACCTCGGGGAAGGGGCATATGTGTGCCAGGGTGCCTGTGTGGAGG